GGGGCAGGGCGGCCCTCCCTTCCCGTGGGCTTGTGTCGCGGCTCTGCTTCCCTCCTTCCTACCGCCGCCTCCGGCCCCTCGCCGGGGGTGGGAAAGGGCAGCGCCGGCTCCACGGGTTCCCCCCGCTCCGCTACGAAGCCCCCCTTGCCCCGGGCCTGAAGAGGGAGAGCCTCCCTCGCAGGCGGTGGGGAAGCGGTGCTTCCAGGCTTTACCCCTCTCTGGTGAGGCGTAACAATAGTTACCCGCTTAAAATTAACTGAAGCTGTCTTTGTAACTTGTTTTGGCTTCTGTGTTGGGGAGTCAAAACGACAACAAGAACGACAAAAATCCAGTGCCCTTCCCCATTGCTGTTTTTAAAAACTGCAGCTGTGGTGATCATGGTGCCCTTTGCAGAGCAGCCAGTGCGGGACTGTCAGCGCCCAAGGCGTCTGTGGGAGTAACAGGGGAAGCAGTGATGGTGTCCGAACTTCAACTGACCTTATAAAGCCCAGGCAGGAATAAAAAAAAAAAAAAATGGAAAGGGGTTAACATCATCTTAACTTCAGCCTGGAGAAGAAAAGATTGCAGGGAGACCTTATAGCAGCCTTCCAGTATCTGAAGGGCGCCTACGAGAATGCTGGAGAGGGACTTTTTACAAGGGCATGTAGTGAGAGGACAAGGGGGAATTGCTTCAAACTGGAAGAAGGTAGTTTTAGATGAGACATCAGGAAGAAAGTTTTCACTCTGAGGGTGGTGAGGCACTGGAACAAATTGCCCTGAGAAGCTGTGGAGGCCCCATCCCTGGAGGTGTTCCAGGCCAGGCTGGATGGGTCTAGTGGGAGTTGTCCCTGCCCATGGCAGGGGGGCTGGAACTAGATGATCTTCAGGGTCCCTTCCAACCTAAACCATTCTATGAACTTAGGTCAGCAGACACAAATTCTGATGTGATGGCCAGGAAGGCAGCCTTTTCTGAGGGCTTTATTTTTTTTCTATGTTTCCAGTGTGCTTTTGCGTGTTTGAGAGGATGGAAACAGGAGCATGGTCTTGTGTCAATACTGCTTGCAATGATTAGGTTAGATATCTTTAATAATAAAGCCACCATGAACTTCCTTTCTGTTTGCACTGTTTTGAGTACAGCATCAAGGATTCAAATTCAGACCCATGCATTTAAGATTTTCTTAGTGTTGCATGGCAGGCAGTGCCTGTAGAGTAAAGACAACGAACAAAAGGAATTAATTTCTTACCTCCCAAGTTCCTACTGTTTTTGTCTTTAATTGAAAGAGCCCATACTGTTTTTTTTCTGGGGGATGCTATGTCTCAGTGATAGAATTGGAGTGCCTGTTGGACAAAGTGTGTTGGAAGGGCTCGGCATTGATGGCTGTGCCAGGTTTCCTCGCTAGCCTTACTGCAAATGTGAAATACTAGTCCACCCTTAGCCATTGTGATTTAATGTGGTAATCAGAGTTGCTTTTATTTCTCTCCTGTCTAGAGAGAGCAGCTTCCACTTGCAGATGATGATAGTGAGAATGGCAGTGACAAGGAAGATGAGCAGCCTCAAGTGGTAACACTGAAAAAAGGGGACTTGACTGCCGAAGAAGCAATGAAGATTAAACAGCAAATCAAAGAGGCCTTAAAGTCAAATGAATCAGGTGAATTTCAAACTTCTAGTTTCTTGCTTTGTATAGCCAAAGAGAGATAACATAAAAGGGAGCCTCATATTTGCTCAGTTTTCTAACATTTAATGCTACCTTTGATTAGTTTTGAATTTTTCAGCTAAATGATTTGGACCTGTGATTCCTAATCTGAAGTCGTTGAGTACATATCCAAGCTGTCTGGCTTTTTATAGTGTTGCAGTTCTTTGCTTCTTGATTGTGCATAATCCTACATCCAAATACCACCTTAAATCTTTTTTTTTTTTTTGTCTTTTTTTGTGTTTTGTTTTGGTGTGTTATTGTCCTCATTGTCCTAGTACACAGTCTTTTGACATCACCTGTGATAATTTTTGAACTCATTAATTAGTTCAGTCAAATCTGACAGTGGAGTGGGTGTCTTAAAGGTAATCATAGGAGTTCATGAAAGAGAGTGGCTGGGCAGAAGGAGGAAACTCAGGTTAGTGCTTCAGTAGAAAGTATGGCAGGTGTGTAAGCTCACTAATGTGTTCGCTTAACTGACTGGTCCGTGTTATTACTTGCTTAAAATCATCCCAGTATGTGTTGTGACTTGCAAATATATTAAGCAAAACTAAATGGATTCAGTGAAAATAATAGAAGATACAATAGTGCCAATGAATAGCAAGGTATAGAAAAAAACGTTTCCCTGCTATGAAGAATTAGAAAGCTTTATCTAAGTTACTTAACAGGCTTTTCAAGAATGGAAAGGTGGAAATGGTGTGGGAGAGGTTGCTGCAGTTAGACAATAAAGATGTGAAACTATAGCTGATGAATACAGTTACGTTAAGAATTTTTGTCAGTATTCGTCATTCACATATGGTTGACATAAATGCTTTGAGAGTCCAAAACCTTCCATTATCATACAGGGTGTGATGAAATGTAGCTTTTTTTTTTTTTTTTTTTTGTGACAGAAGACATGACAGATTAAAGGTAGATATTGCTGTCTCTAGTGGAAATGTCTTCACAATTAAGAATATAGGACTGGAACCTCACAAGTATCGGATAGAAAGGTGATTCATAGAAGCTGTGGACCTTTTCCTCGGGTAGCTATTGTGGCTATTTACAAAAGTTGTAAATTGAGTTTAGAGCAGACTGAGAGGATAGCACACGGTTATCAATACGACATCCTAAGGTTCTGTCTTTTTCTGCCATTTGGATTTGAAAATTTACATTTGTGCTGTCCCTATGTAGAAGTATGTGTTAAAATCAAAATTATATAAATGAAGAAGTCAAGTAGCAGTACTAGGAGAAAATACATTGAGAATCTTACATTTTTGAAAAGCAACGTAGGTTAGCTTGAAAATAAATAAAGCTACATCTGATTTGTTTCTGCAGGTAGATATGTGTATGCAAGGTGTAACCAGCTAGTGGACTGTGCTAGATGGCTGTGTTGATATAATGTGAACTCCTCTGGGAAAATGTGTTCAACTTCAGGCTTACTTACTGGTCTCTTATAATTGAACTGTAGTGCATGTCCTTGCTGTTGCAGTTTGTAAAGTTGTCACATGATTTCTTTTCAAAAGTGGGATCACTCTTCTAGTATTGGGATAAATTTCAACCTGTTGGAAAGAAATGGCATGATTCTTTCTAAGATTGGTTTCTTTTTCATATAAGCAACTTGAATTTTGAATGATCACAGTAGGAGGAAAAATTATTTTGTAAGGCTGGGCCAAAAGGAGTTGTCCATGAGACTCTATTGAGGTGGAGTCCATGCTGTGAAAAAAGTCCAAAAGAGCTACCAAGTTGAATACACGGTATGAAAAGGAAGTGTATTTTAATACAGTAACTGAACTTTTTTGGTGGAAAAAGACAGTCCTAAGACGTAATTGTGTGTAGTGAGGACGGTAATACTGACTCCGTGTATGACTTTGGCACCTCTGCTTATTATCCCTTCGTCCCTTCAGTAATAACTTGCATTTGGAGGAAAAAACCCCACAGGAGCAGGTAGCAGGAGCGTTGAATTGCTGTGCTCTGGGGACTGTTGCCCTCTGTTCTACGTTATTGTGTTACTATTTGTTCATCTGTCTTTGCTGTTAATATAAGGTCTTGGCCTTCTTTTCCTTTTTTTGGCTTATGGGAATAAACAGGGTAAGTGCTACTACGTTCCTCTGCTATGGAGAAGACCTGCTGTGAAATTTTTAATGAAGACGTGGGTAACTGTGCTACAGCTTGCTGAAGGCTTTTTTGAGTCTTTGTCCATCTTTGTACTGTCAGTCTGACCTCTAGATTTAAATTCTGATTTCTGGTCAGAGGCAGGTATTCAGACAGCTGGTTACTTCCAGTTTAATAAAGAGAGTTTTGAGTAATGTGTTAATTTCTTTTTTTTTTTAATAATTGTCAGTTCTGAAAATTGGAAGTACAAAGAAAGTTTTATGCTGCATGATTTGATTGCATTTCTTGTTGCTTTGATTTTTATCCCAGAGTTGAAAGTAAATTAATTTAATGGGTACTAGAGCATAATATATAGCCCCAAATCAGATCATTCGTGAAATTGTGAAGCTGAAAATGTAGCAGGGAAGTAAATTTTCCAACTGATAATATTCCTTTCCACCATGCATCAATGCCGAGGCACTTTGATAGATCATAAGTAACGTGCTGGTAACTCTCCGTTGTGAACAGAAACTGTTAGTTTTTCAAAACATGGAAAGTACTCTGTTTTGAGGTTCTGCCCTCTCCTCTTTTATATATGTAGTGATTGTCTTCATTTGAAGGTTCTTGTCTTCAGGCTTTGGTTTGGGATATTATTCTAGGTTTTTCATATCTCATTTACATCCTTTCTCCTTCATTTTCTTCTATAACCAGTTTGACATGGCTACGCTTCTTTTATTTCAGGCACCAGCAGTTCCTGTGACTTGCACTTTCTTCTGCAGAAACACTTGAGTAACATTTTTGCATTAATTTGGCAAAAACAGCTGATTAAAGTCCTAGCTGCACTTAGTTGCCTCCTAAGGCAGAACAAAATTTAGTGAAGCTTGTACGTTGGCTTTTGCAGGTATAGTCCCAGAGAACTTTTTTATTTAGGACTGAACCCTTCTGATATGAGAAAACACCCTTCCATATTGAATTATTTTTCTCCATGGAGGACTGACTTAGAGGCTTTTTAAACATAAGTCATTTGTTTATCAACAGTCATTTTGCTTAATATTTTTATGCAGCATTTTATAAATCGTTACTGTTGGCTCAGAGACAAAGAAAAATGGTCGTTTGAGAAATTCAATTTGCACAAAAGAAAAGATGGCAATTACTAGAAGATCCTTTATCCCAGCATACATTATGGTCTATGGAATTGATTTTTCTACTGCTTTTCTAGTTCACCTGGCCTCTGGGACACTCTGATACATGCAGATGACCAAATTTGGCAGAAGGTGTCCTTACTTATTCAAAGTCTTTTAATATTATTATTGTCTCATTCCATATTCTGGGCTTGGGGGACGACAAGAGAGGGGCGAGGTAAGGAGAATACAGTCCATGCTGTCTTGGCTATCAGAGCTCTTTCCTTAGCTCGAGCGGTTGTTATATCAGATATGTATCACAGAGTTTATGCTTCTCTTCATCAAAAAAAAAAATTTAAGTAACAAAAACTTTCCCAAGTGTCCTCATAAATGATTGAGACTGAATATCTGAGCGTGTCTGGACTTTTTCATGATACCAGTGTGCAGAATTCCTGTAGTAAATGCTTCCAAAGGCACGCATAGAGATGGGTGGCCAGAAAGCACTAGAAGGAGCATCTGAAACAGCTGACCTGAACTTCTAGCCTTAGAAACCATTAAGAAGTTTGCCAGGTTATTATTTTTTTCCAGCTGTTATCATTGAGTAGACATATATCTTGAAATACTGTTTGTGCTGCTCCTCCTGTTGTTCCTGCCAGTTTAATGGCGTTTCCTGTTGTTGCCTCATTGACCCATGCAGACAGAAACCGCTGAAAAATGGTGCTGCTAACTACAGAAGTGACTACTGAATAAAAAATACAGTAAACTGAAGAGCAGCATTTCTTTTTCAGACCCTCATTTCTACTTCTCTTGTAATATATAACATGCAATTAAAAGAGAAGAAAAAAAAATTCTGAATGTGTGGCTTCTTAATGTCACTTGTGAAGTGAGTTTTCAGCTCAACGTCTGATTGTGCCCCTCTTAGTCAACCAGTGTAAAGATTTGTGATCCAGGTAAAAGCAGCAATGACTAAGAACTGTCAGAATTTGAACTGCTACTGTAGTTTTTTGACTCTCTTATCGGAAGTGGATTTTATTATTTTTCCTGTAATGCTTTTATGTTGGTTGTATTTTACTTTGTGTGTTTCAGTGTGTTTATCAGAAATCGTGCTTTCCATAATTTGTAATACTGTTATAGTCTTTTACCAGGGCTCTATTAAAAACTACGAGCACTGAGATTGTTTCTTCAGTCTCTTCTTCGCATTGCTTAATACAAGTCGGTTTTTGGAGGTCGTGGATAAAATCAAAAAAGACAGCTGAGTAAGAGTCTAGTAAAATTAGAAAGGGGGAGGTGAAGTTTTTACCAGCTGGAAAAGACAGTCTTAACAAATCAACACAAATTTCTTGAGCTGCTACATCAAATTCTTTCAAAAAGCATAGTCTGTCTGTTCTCCCTCTTTCCACCAGTAAGGCTGGGCCACCTCTGTTTCTTCACCTGCTACATTCTTTGTCAAGCTCTGCCAGCTCATCATAGCTT